CAGTTATCATTGATGTACACCATCAGGTCCATTTCTGAGTCAAAGTACTTCTTCTTGTGGATCACACTCAGGTTGTAGAGGCTCAGGTGTGCGACATCCTTCCTGAAATATTTCAGTAAATACTGTTTCTTTCAGTCTGTCTTAAAAAAAAAAAAATACTAATATAAAGACACCAAATATGTTTGCTGGAGTCACAAGATTTAATTACAGAGGTGGAGTAAAAGTTTATCACAGCTCTCTAGCCCAGGCGTCAAAGGTAGCAGAGCTTTTAAGAAGAAGAGTAAATGCATGCTTGTGTAATTTAATAGAATAAAAATCCAGCTGTGTGTGTCAGAGTACAAGTTCCTCTTACCAGCTGAGAGGCAGACGGCTGAGGTACTCCGGTCCACCATTGCAAACCGAACAAACAAACACATAAAACCTGAAGGCAAAAATAAAAAAAGGCCTCAGGCAACAAGAACATAATATAAAGTTTAACATAAAAACCTAGCTATGCTCTAGCTGACTGTCCACTGAGACACGTTTCTTTTTACCATTCTGTTTGTGTGCACATACTTTTTCCAAAACGTGCCTTAAAAACTGAATATTACCCAGAAGTATATTCACCATCATTTCAAGACCAATTTTAATAGGCAGCCCTTGTTCTCCAAAGCCACACTTTTGCAGGCCATCGGGGAGCAGACTTGAATACGTACAACAATACAGTCAAGATCCACTGTCGAGGGTAAACATTTACATTAGAAGCAGTAAATATGGTCACCTATCTCCGTGGAGCATTGGCATCTGTAAGCAATGGAGACAGGCTTCGTGGAACCATTGCTGACACATGTTGCACTGCAGCATCTTCAGGTACCAGCTGCAAGCAAACAGAATATGAACATTATAACTTTCGTGGACATGGGAACATTTCCATCCAAGCTCTTCACTCTTTCCAGAATATGTGAATATAATGCAACGTCACTCACTCTCCTGGACCGCCACAGTAGCAGTAGCACTGCTGGATGTTGGTTTTGTGGCCGTGGTCCCACACCAGCTCCTCCAGCACATATGGGAAGGACAGGTGTAGCTCCATGTGCTGCGGCTCCTGCTGTTCCTGCTGCAGAAAGTCTTTAGCAGACGCCCCTCTTCTGTGTGGACCACCCGTCTGCAAACCAAACAAACAAAAAACATGTTTTTCCCACCAAAATAAATACATAAAAAGAAAAAAAGAAAATTTGGTAAACACATATAAAGAGGTGCTTTTTAAAGCTGGTAAGCTGTTTAGAAAATTTTTAATTTCTCCATAAATATTTGGGGATTTTTCAATAAATAAATGACCTCAGAATAGTTTAGCCTCATTCACTTAATTGGGTTTCCTAATCTTGGGACATTTTATTTTGGGATCATACAAACTTTAAAGCCTCAATCACTTTTATTCACTCCACAGCAATCTATGAAGTCTTTTATATCCACTTTGATTTACAAACAAAGCAAGTAATGCACTCTCCAAAACAGACATGTGTCATGTTAACAAACTCGTCTAAACCACCTGTTCAAGGTAAATGTTTGACGTATTTCTTCTTAAAGAAAAATCTGTACCTTAGCGAGAGAAGTGAGCTCACACTCTGAGCAAAGCCACTTGTCATCAGAGTCGATGACAGCAGCATCGATGACAGGGGAGTGACACCGCTGGTGGTAGCCTAAAACACAAATGAACACATCGGTAACGGCCAGAGATTAGAGCACAACAGATGAATAAATAAACTACTGAGACTGGCTGTTTAAATGGGTTTCAAATGTCATATAAAATAACTGTTTCTGGCTTATGTTGGAACATCAAAGACGATAAATGATACCTTGTCCACACTTGTCACAAATGACAATCTCGTTGGGTTCCTCTGAAGTTTCATCTTGGCATATGGAGCACACAATGTCATCGTCGTCGTCATCCTCATCATCTTCTTCCCCTAAACAGCAGCAAAGTCATGAAGGTAATCAACTAAAGTTTCAGATTAATGGTGGTATGACTAGGGGTATAATTTAGAGCAGCTTTCAGTCAAACGAGATCAGAGGAGTACACCGAGTCATCACAAGAACAAAAGACATCCCTCTCACAGCAACTTTTGCTGCTGTGAGGAGGAGGACTCAAATTCATCCAGCTGAAACTAGAGAAAGGTGGCAGGGAAAATATTTTACAACCTGGATAAATAAAATCCAAACTGTCTAGTTATGGGGGGTGTGGGTGAAATTGTGCTTCCATGTCCCTGAAGGTCTACACCAGGATACTAGAGAGAAGATTCTGTCTACTGACTTAACTTTTGATTCAGCAGGAACAAAGCAGCTTTCATCCTGATTGCGGACAGTTTGCTGCCTTCATCCTCCTGAGGATATTCGAGGGTGTGGGATGTTTGTAATAACTATGTGGCTTTTGTGGACCTGGAAAGGGGATTTCTATTCAAACCAATTTTTTTTTTTTTTCATGTAGCGCCAAATCGCAGCAACAGTTGCCTCATATCACTTTATCACACTCACACTGGAATAGAATTTATAATACGATTTTGACTGCATGATTCTTTGTCATACTTTTTTAATATATCCCAATTCAACTATCGCGATCAGGTTGAGGTTAAAAAATAAATAAATAAAAATTATCTCATAAATGTCACAATGCCAAGAAAAATCTTAACCAGATACTTCTCACAAATCGTTTACAGTCAAATGTGACAAATGTGTCTGATCATAGCTTCTTGGTGTCTTTCATTAATGCTTTATTCATGACCCATCCCATTTAAGAATAAAAATGAGGAATAAGTTTTTCTTAACACCATAATAGCTAAAGGGGCTTAAGTGGAGCGATAGCTGCCCGTCTGCATGTTAGCAATGCGCTGCGACTGTACTGATACACTCTACAGTTAACTGTCAATGTGAAGAGCAAGAGATAAGCAAGTCCTGGAAGAGGCAGACAGGTTTGCACAGCACAAATTGTGGATAACTGACTCCCTACCCTCTTTGCAATGGCTTACAGTATCTTTACTGCATATTATCTAGCAATTAAACTAAAATATATTGCACATTTTAAATTTCCCTTTGGGATCAATAAAGCAATTCTTATGCACCTCGAAGCCAACATTCACCTGTTTGAATATCCTTCCAAAGAACCCAAGACTTTGAACGATCCTCAAAAACCACAAAACATCGGTGCTTGTCCCGATCTATCTGAAAAACAAAACAAAGAAAGATTCACTTGTTTCCAGATGCGACAGGGGCAGATTTTGCTGTAGATGACCTATACTGATTTCAAGAGTTTTTCCGCCAACGCTCTCCACACAGTCCATTTACCTGCATGCATCATATGCATCATCCTCACACTAACCTTTGCAATTGTTCCCAAGTAGAAAAGGCCATCTGACCACCGGGCCAGGACATCCTGTCCCTCTGAAAATCTGTCAGACATGCTGTCTTCTCCATACTCTCCCCTGGCAGAAAGGCTTGTGGGGGACAAGGACACAGCCTGCTGCTGCTGCTGCCGCTGCGGGGGATGAGCTCTGTGATGCACAGACAGGTGATCCACAACCCCTGAGTCTCTGAAAAACAGTGCAAGGCAAGAGAACAGAGGCAGACATGAATTTAGACAATGGAGTAAGCAGATATGGAATAAGTGCAAAGTTAATTTATGAGAATTTTTTTTTCTGCTTATTGTAAACAGATTGTAATTATTTATATGTGGTGTATTCTGATCCTCAAAAGAATACTAGTACAATTTAATGTATGTTATTGGCATTTTTCTAACTGATAACAACCAGCAGGGTAACAGTCCTGTATGTGTAGCCCTCAAACACAAGGATGCATTGTGTGCTTGCAGAAGGGCTTACAAAAGAAAGAGTGAAACATGGCATTTCCTCTCCACTGGCTTTGAACAACAGGTGATTATACTCATAATTAGTGCTAATTGTTAATTAACCACATAGTCAGGAACGTGGCTTCAATGCAATGAAAGACAAAAAACAAAAACCTAACCACCCTTTCAAAAATAAAGACCAATGTACTGAACACTTCCATTCGACTACAAGTCTCAGTGACAGCTGATACTTTGATCATACTAATAAAACATGTCATATTTCTAGCTTCTATTGCAAATGTTATTAATTTCAGATATTAAGGAACTATTGATTTTTTTTTTTCTTCGCCTTTAAACCCTGTCCTCCAATGCAGGCTTTCCTTTGTTCGGATAATGAGTGGACGTGTTCAGTGCCAGCCACTTAGCAAAGATGAAAAGAGACAGCTTGGGATGCCGCTGCACGCTGATATAATGTCTTGTATATTAAATAGTAGGCAGCTGGGCGAGCTCAGCAGCGGGAATAATCCACATGCAAAGCCGTAACCCCAGCCAGGTCGCTGACCGTCGGACCCACACCCCCCCTAACGGGAGGAAAACATGACAACAATACCTCATTCGGTCACCTCCGTTTCCACAAACGACTCGTACGACAAAAATAACCGGACAGAAGAGCCGCTCTTATCCCGCTCTTCGAGCAACTGAATTCACTTCTAAAGCGTGTCTGGAAAACATGCGGGGTTTGTGGCTTCCTCAGAAAATAACAAACGGTTCATTTTCCCCAAGCAAGTTCGCCATTTTGGTTTCCCGCTGATGATCGGGGAGTGCATTATGGGAAGAGCTTAAACGACTGCTGCTGGCTGTCTGTGCCGCGACGCTCACATTTTTTTCAAACATTTGAAATTGTAGGCAGGGCATTTAGTAAGCAAAACATATCCGCCCCTTAAAGAAGCATATTTTTTATTTTTTAAATTATTTTGGTCGACGTTTTTCTGGAGATGTTATGCGTAAATGTCTGCCTAAGAGAGACGTTCTATATATAAAATATGTTTACTCAAAAACATCAGAAGTTTAACGACGCGATGTTTGATAAACTTGTGCAAAGTACGACCACGTCATGGCGCTACAACATAACATGACGCTAACAGGTAATTTTTAATCAGACCTCCTAGCCGGAAGTTATGTGTACCGTCTCCGCAATAAAACCTTTATTTTGAAGGAGGAAGCGGATGTTTGTCTTCCCCCTCCTTGCTGGCTTGACCCGCTTGTACCTCCGGAGTTTCGCAAACACGCAATATTGACTCGCCGTTATCTGCGGAGGGGATCTGACTTCGGTGAGTGGGCTTGGACAGCAGTTTTGGTCAAATTAGTTGATCACGTGTAAACTTGAAAAAAACATATCTTATTGGTAGAGTTTGCGCCTGCGCTCTGAACCTGCGTTTTTTCCCCAGCTTCAACTATGTTGCTTTGGTTGGAATTCAGCAGCTGCTGCAAAGAGAGCCCAGGCGCAGGCAAAGTGTGCCGTCAGAGCGACTCACGCCGTCAACACAAACCGACAATCTGAGCTTAAAATCGGATAACCTGTAATAATTTCCCTGTGCCCGTCGTTTGATGCTGAACACGCTTTGTCCCATGGGTTTTTGGATGATCCCCCACAGCCAGGTCCACGTCTTGAGATGATCTATTTTTGTGATGGCGAAGGGTCTGTTTCCACGGGCCTGGGTGAAAAAGTCTTTCTACTTTCAGGTAAGATTGCTACCCAGGATCTGTTGTGTGAAGCGGATTGCAGTTTAAAATGAGGTGATGCTGTGGGATTGTTTGAGCTCGCCGTGGTGCCACATCACACTGACAGCTGGCAGTAAACGGGTACCTCCTCTTGGTGCTCGGTGTGGACATCAAAATACCTGATGAATGCAAAATGCAAAATACCTGATGAATGCGGGCCTGCTCTAGAAACAATAGGATCGTTTCCCTGGCACTGCTTTGTTTTTGACTGTAAAGATGCCAGGGCTTCCACTCAGTCTTTTCCTTGCCTTCAGCAGTGCCAGGGCAGCAGTAATTCCTTTGGGCTGGGTAATAAGGGTTGAACCTTCTGATTTGAGGAGCAGCTGCCAGCAACTTCTCTCAATACAGTAAGGAGCTTATGCAAGAGGAAGAGAGTACAGGGCTGCATTTGCTCTTAAAAAGGGTAGAATGCTGTTGCATTACAATATGCACAACCGTCAGTTTAATGCAGTCTACTGAAAGCTGAAACATGTTGAGCTCAAAGGGTGAAACATGTTGGCAAGCTCAGCTCATTTCATCTGGCTATAACCAGTAACCAATTACAGTAAACAAGTGTCTCCTGTAGGCCCGTGGTTTAATTCAATGAGATCAGTTGCTACTAAGCAACATGTCATCCTGTACCTGGCGTTGTTTTTTTGAGGCCTGAGAGGACATCGATCCTAGAAGAAAAAAAGGATTTTGCATGTGTTTTCACTGTATATTGTGCATGCAGTGTGCACATTTTGCACAACAATTAGGCAAATGTGTTCTGTTTGTGGTCTACTCAAATCAGTTTCTCCCCATGTCCATGTATCTCAAACAAAAGGTCAGTGAAAAATGCAAACGGGCTCACCAATTTTAAGAAAAAGCCTCTCTAAGAACTTTCTAGGAAACCTGTATGCTCATAAAGCCACCACGGCAAAATGTGTTCCTTATTGTCTTCCAGGTAGCAAGCTTACAGGGCAGGTTTCAGCAAAGCCATCAGAGTTTACTGCAGAGCCGACATATATATGTCTCCTGGACCAAACTGTGCTGTCAGAAATCAAATAGCTCAGATGTCAAAGCCTGCTACATTTAAAAACCAGTTTAGTAAGACTTCACTAAGCACGTAAAGACACGTTTTCAATCAGGGATTATTAGCCACCTTCAGTGCGTCACGCGGGATTAGAGGCAAAAACTGAAAAGGAGAGCCAGCTGAGACGCTCTGTGGATTTCAGGTGGGATGAAATGACAGTGGCCATCACCGCAAATCCCTCTACATGATATGGGCCTTTTGTCTGGGTAACTGAGACCATCTGTTGACAGACAGTGACCCTAAAGCTTGCACTATGGATTTTGTGCTTTGTCACTTAGCTCAATCGAGCATAGGTCATTCCGCTCTCAGCACTTAGTCATTTTATTTGACTTATCTTGTTTTGTTTATTTTATTGATTTATACCTTGAGGCTGCTATACAACTGCAAAACATGTGGAGTCTCTGTCCCTGTCTTTGTGATTAGTAATATAGTAATAAACATCTTTTTGACTCTTTTTAACCCTCATACGTGGCATCAGTTAGGTTTATGCATTGTTTTCCTAGTTAAGACATTTAGTACATATCAGGTGTCATTGCAGAGGATACACTGTAAGGGACCAAAGGGTTTGATGAAAGATTAAGCTCTGTCCTGCTCAGCTTTCACACACCCCACAGACAGTTCACAGGCACGCATGACTCAAAGTCACTTGCTTGTCATGACCATGGAGGGCTGGGCTGTATCCAACCTTTAATTTCCATGTGTGCACATAGGAAATGTTAATTCCCTTTGCAGAGAGCCTTTACACATGCCAAGGCATTCAGATGTGATAGCAATGTTCACTCTTTATCCTTATTGCCATCTCTTTCGTGGAGGCCAACTGTCTATTTAGTCATCTCTTCAGGGCGCACAGTGTTTAAAAGCAAAGCGGTCGTGCAGAGGAGACATCTGTCCTGCTCTGTTAAAAAGCAGCTGCTAAAGCTCAAATAAACTCCTGCTGTTGTCAGTAACAGATTGATGAAATGCACCAAATAGAGAGACAGGTAATTTGTTATTTTCCCGTACCCTAACCTTCTTGTAGAAGTATTTTGTGAGATGCCTCAAATCTCAAAAGAATACAAATTAAGAGTAATTTGACCCTCTTTCTGTGTGTCAGTGCGGATCAGACGCTTTAATGTCTCCCACAGAGTGTATAAACCCATAACAGAGTTCTTCTGCTCTGTTTACACACTACAGTAATCATAGCACATGAAAGATAAAAAGGCTTTTGACTTGGTGCCTGCCACACTGCCAGGGTATTTTGCTGGGATTTGGAAACAGTGCTAAAGCTGAATGAGAGGCACGGCAAGCTGCCAAAACACACACGGCATAACCAGTTCCTACCATGCAATCAAAGAGAGAAGCAAAATTACTTTATCCTCCCAAGTGCAGTTACAGTCCTCGGAGGGAAGACTAACTGCAGTTTTGTTTGGGTAAAAGTCGAGGAGTGTGGCCGACGGAGGCAGTCTGACCTAAATTCTTTTCACTGCTCCACTCTGCCTTCCAACAGTCCTCTTTGCTTTATCTTTTTGCTTGCTTTTATTTAATTATTCTCTTAGTCTGTGTGCTGCCGAGAGGATCATTTCATTAACTGACTTCAGCTGTTGCTCCAGAGCAACATCAAGACCTCACAGAAGTGTCCTGTAACTTCTAATCGTAAAGTTTTCACAATTCTAGTTCGAGACTCTTTGACAAAGCCGCAGACTTTTCTGCCATAGAAGAGATGGTGAAATGTGTAGCTGTGTTGTGTGGATTGCCAGGATAGTTGGCTTAGCAACCTTTGGCCACAGTGACCAAAGAACAAATTAACGAATTATTGACACAAAAACTTCACGTTACCCCTCACAGGGACTTTTGCGATCCTCTGACTTCAGCACCACAAAATCAGTATTTACCCGCTGTAAGGAGTATGTTGGCATACTAAACTAGGATTTCAAACAAGGTAAAAGTTATAGCTGCAAATCATTGCCATGTTATCGTTTTTATTGTTGCATGCTAGAGTTACACTTTAACTCAAAGCACCACTCTTTATAAGTGTAGCCTCGCAGAGACGCAGCTATAACACTGCTATAGGTTGGTAATGAAGCAAATAGTTACTTTCTGTATGCACAGCTGGACTGTATGACTAACTTGGCATTTAACTTGATCTTTCTTCCTGTTTTCAACAACTGCAGCTGTTTTTGTTTCTGATTTGGTTAATTTCAGTTCAGTTTTTTATTCCATTAGAGGTGAAAATCACCAGATACCACATGATACAATATCATCACCATGCTTCACACAATACAATATTATTATTATATTTATCTAGTTTTGTAAACTGTGCCCTCAAAGTTGAACTTTGTCGGTGTCTGTTTTATCACAATAAGATTGGCAAGCATACCAATACTCACTAAAACCAGCCATAATTATTGTGAGATAGTCTATGGTAAATGGTAAAATGGTAAATGGCCTGTATTTGTATAGTGCTTTACTAGTCCCTAAGGAAGTCCCAAAGCGCTTTACACAACCAGTCATCCACCCATTCACACACTGGTGATGACAAGCTACATTGTAGCTACAGGGACGCACTGACAGAGGCGAGGCTGCCAGACACTGGCGCCACCGGGCCCTCTGACCACCACCAGTAGGCAACGGGTGAAGTGTCTTGCCCAAGGACAGCGACTGAGACTGTCCGAGCCGGGGCTCGAACCGGCAACCTTCCGATTACAAGGCGAACTCCCAACTCTTGAGCCACGATCGCCCACGTCTATGATTGAAAGGGACCAAGTAGGCAATTAAGTGCCAAATTATACATCAATTAACTGTGATAAATCCTTTAAAATCATGTATCTGTTGAAGTCTGCATAGACTCAAATTCATTTTTAAAAGAAATTCACATTACATTTGCATTCAGCAGCCTTCCTGTTCTATAGAAATATAACCGGCCCACAAGCAGCCAGCTGATTCAAGTCCTCTCAAATTGTGTTTACTGACAAAGACTCATTCAGACTGATGGCAGCATGTTGCCAATCTGTCTGCATTTAAAAGTGGTTGTGAATGTGCAACACCCACGAGCTGTGAGCAACCATATCATCACCACAAGTTCCAATCGGTCACAGAATGTGAAAAATTTTTTTTTTTATGGATCTAAGGAAGTTGTTATATTTTTAGTCCTTGACCGAGCCATTAGCTAGCTCTGAATTAGGAGGTAGCTTTGTGTAGCTAAGTGTGTCCAATGTTGGACTTTCACTTGAGCTGATTTAATGTAAGTTTGTTTGGCTAATCTCAGGATGGTCGTGCATGAGATGAGCCTTCTTCTTTGGAGTACTCCCTGAGTATTTTAATTTATTTAGTAAAATATTGATATCTGGTGTCCATGTATCGGTACAATACTGGCACCATTTTCCCCTCCCACCCTTACTATCCATCTATGAGTTCTTGGCCTCTTATCTAGAGCCAGGTCACGGAAGCAACAGTCTAAGCAAAGATACCCAAACTTCCTTCTCCCCATCCACATCCTCTAGCTCTTCTGATTATTCGTGATGAAAATGTATTTGTCGCTGTAAATGTTCATTAACAGGTGAAGGAAAATGACACAAATAGTCAGTTACTGACTTTTCTAATATCAGGTTGTTTTAAAATACGCTGTTTGTAGATTTTTTTTTTTGTAGTGTAGTTTTCTTCAGAAGTTTCACTCTGCCTGATTTTTATCACGATGGCAAATAACTGCATTAACTTTCACCGTGTCACAGAAATAACAGGACGTCTGCTCAAAGGGGCATTGTAAGACATGTGATGTGTGCATCCTGTGACTCAAGCAGTAAGCTGTTACCAGCCACAACTAAAATGGTATGTCGCGCTGTAAGAATGGGACTCCCAACTCTAAAAAACATTTTCTGGCTTAATGAGCTATTGTTGCACCTAGCAATAAACCACACAACCAGTACCTTGTTATTGGACAAGGTACTGGTTGGTACTTGTGAGAGTCCCCGACTCTCACTATAATAACCTTTTATGTGATCAAAGCTGTGTGATTAGATCAAATCCATGGTTGTCTAACATGTTAATCCAGGTAATCCCAATACAAAGAAATGCAGGTTCATAACAAAATGAACTGCCGGGACCTAGGTACTGTAGAGTTTCCAGATCTGGATCAATCAGCGCAGTTTTGTTTCAACTCTCCACTCACAGGCTCGGATCTCCTTTGTGCGGGTGAACTACCTGTTCCTGACATGGCTGACTGTGCTGGTGGGGAGCTGGGTGTTCTATGTGCAATACTCCGCCTACACAGAGCTGTGCAGAGGACACGAGTGCAAGAATGCCATTGTGAGTGACTGCAGTAGTTTAGAAGAGACCATGGTTTGAAAATTGCAAGAACTCGTCTCAGAAATCTTTGTGGCTATTAAGAAAATGTCACCCGCGTTACAATAATAATTGTGTTCCTCTTTTTTGTTAAAGTGTGATAAATACAGGAGGGGGATCATCGATGGGTCTGCTTGCAGTAGTCTGTGCGACAAGGAAACACTGTACATGGGCAGGTGTCTGTCAACACTGCCAAACAACCAGGTAGGCGACCACTGTACTTTCCATTTAGATTACTGTGTGTAAAATCTCACTGGTAGATGTCAATAGATGACTTCTGTTTTCTTAACACACCCAGTTGAAATGAACAAACCTAGCTGGTTGCTGTAGGACAAATAGGGTTAGTCAGCCAAGACAAACAAATACGTCAAATTTAGACTCTACTCCATAACTGCTGCCATGGGCCGGCATGTTTCTTCCACTATTTCTGTATATAAACATTTTTCTAAACACTGTTAGAAAACCAACACATAATAATGAATTATTAATAAAAAATTAATTAAAAAATGTGCAGTATTTTTATGTTTTTACCCTCAATGTCACCTCAAAAACTCAGGACGTTCATTTGTAATGAGTGTAGGCTGTCGGCCCCCTGTTTACCACAGCAAGCAGTCAATAGGCTAGCGGCCCACCTGTATTTACTTTGGAGGAGGCTATAAAACGTTGTGACAAGAGTCCAATACAGTCGATACAGTGGAGTTCACTTTTGACCGATGACAGTGATACTGAGTCAACTTGTTGAGGCTATCCTGGACTTTTTGTCAATAAGCACAGATTTCATTGCCACTGTTAGCCTCTGTCAGCTTCTATTAGCCTCTGTTAGCTCAGCTGGTAACTATTTTTCTTGCAGGGTATTTTTTACATTTTTTTTCTTTTGTGGAACATTTCTCTACAGCCATTTTTATACATTTATACATTTAAAGAATTTGCAATTGTAGCTATTTTTTAGATTTATTAGCTCTGTAGAATCTTCTTGATGCATGCTCAATCATCCAGGTATGTAGATCTCCAAAAGTTGATTCTGTTCATCTGGATGTAGCGTTTTCAGTGGGAGAAACGTTTCATCACTCATCCAAGTGACTTCTTCAGTCTCAGCTGACTGCAGGTTTCCCTAATCTTATAAACAGTGCATTTGCATAATGACTGAAACTAGCACCACTGAAGGAACAATGGGCTGGGAGGTCAGTTCATTCATCATAATTATGCAAATTTTCATGACCATTGATCAACAACCGCTGATCAATGGCCATGAGTACCATTCACAGAGAGTTGGGGAATGGCTGCAATCACAGCACTGTAATATGGCGAAGGATGTACCCTTACCCTTATGTGAAAAGGGAAAGACCATCTCTGAATCAAGGAGGGGGCCTAAGGACCTTTCGCCATCATACAATGATAAGATTGGGGAAACCTGTAGTCAGCTGAGACTGAAGAAGTCACTCGGATGAGTGACGAAACGTTTCTCCCACTGAAAATGCTACGTCCAGATGAACAGAATCAACTTTTGGAGACCTCTGTAGAGTATTAAAGAATTTCTTTATTCTGAGAGTGATACATGAAAAGTTTATTCTTATATGAGTTCTCATTAGCAAAGGATAAAGATGAGTGATCGGTCAATTATCCCATTCTGCTTTTCATTAGGTATACACAGGAAGCTGGGGAGACCACGATGGGATCATCCACTGTAAGCTGGGGGAGGTTGTGCACTATGAGCTGGGTGAAGAACCAGAGCCACGGAGGGAAACCCCAGTGTTTGACAAGCCTACGAGAGGCACCTCAGTGGAGAAGTTTAAAGAGATGGTCTTTAATCACCTCAAGGTAAAAGAGGTCAAGTCATAAAAGTTGTGATGAAACTAAATCTGTGATTTAGCCTGAAACAGCTTCTCTCATTCTCTATCCACCAGTCCAAGCTTGGAGAACACGCGAACCTTGCTAGCCTCGTCAGCCAAATCCTCTCTGTCGCCGATGGCAACAGGGATGGACGGGTGTCACTGCCAGAAGCCCGTTCTACTTGGGCCCTCCTGCAAATGGATGAGGTATCATAAGTTCATAATAATATAATTAACAGTGGAGAACAGTTTTCTGAGGCTTGATGTTAAGGCACTTTCGTGCTCTGTTCTCTGAGGTGCTGCTGGGTCTGCTGCTCCAGGACAGAGGACACACTCCTCGTCTCATCGGCTACTGCGGGGATCTCTACATGACGGAGCGTGTTCCCTATGGACCCCTGTACGGTTTATCTCTGCCTTGGCCTCTGGTTTCTTGGGTTCCTAGTGGTTTGCAGCGCTCCATGGACCAGTGGTTCACCCCCTCCTGGCCTCGCAAAGCTAAGATCTCCATGGGCCTGCTGGAGCTCGTGGAGGACATCTTTCACGGCACCTACGGGAGCTTTCTGATCTGCGACCTCGCTGCGGCACACTTTGGTTACACTGACCGCCATGAGCTCCGTCTCACTAACACCCAAGCAGTGGTTTCCGAGGAGGAGTTCAGGCGCACCATGCGAGCACTGAAGTGCGAAACAGATGCCGACTGCATTTACGGGGCAGACTGCCACACATCCTGCGATTTGTCAGAGAGGCGATGCAGGGAGGAGCCATTCAGGCCAAACTTGGCGAAGGCTTGCGAAGCGCTGAAGGACTACCTCCTGCGGGGGGCGCCGTCAGAGATGAGAGAGGAGCTCGAGAGGCAGCTGTACGCCTGCATGGCTCTCAAAGGTAATGCTGGACAGATGAACATGGAGCACTCACTTATCCTCAACAACCTGAAAGCCCTGCTGTGGAAACAGATCTCGCACACCAAGGACTCATGACAAGGAGGGGAAGTCCCTCTGAAGGAGGAAATGGGTATAAAATAGGCTGTGATGTAAGAGTAGCAAACTTACTAAAGTCATTGTTAACTAACACTTAGGAACGGTCACACATATGGATGAAGCTGGAGGCCGGAAAAATTTATTTTAAATGATTAAATGACTGCATGTTACCGTCAGTCACGCTCATAGAAACACACATTGTGTATTGTATTGTTCACTACAGTGGAATGTCATGATAGCACTGCTGGAAAAAAAAATACTTGTAGTTTTTACTGAAAGTCTCAAAAGCCGAGAGACTGAATTGCTGTTTTTGCCACAAAAAATCATGCTGATGAGTGCGCACTACGCTGGTAAAATAATGATTGTGAAATCAATGAACATCAATACCACAATTTCATATTAAAACCTAGAACTTGAGGGAGTTTAGGATAAGGGTGGACTTTTAACAAAGGACTTAAACCGACCTAAAAACCCAAACTGTGCTGTAGTGTCTAAACAAGAGTTTTCACATATTACTACTCATTCGGTGGACGATCAGCACTTCTAGAAACATAACTAAATCTACACAGAAGCAAAAATAAATCATAGTTCTTATGTGCGTTATCATGAAAGAATGTGTCACCAAGTGCAACAGTGCATGCGTTTCATACAATTGTCAAAAAGTCGGGACTATACACTGGATGTCCTTCCTGACGCAATCCTACAGGGATTTGTGTCGATCTTTCACTCGTTAGCCAAATGTGCAAAGCATTATACTGTGGAGCTACTAATTGCAGTAGAGGAGACCAGCGCAGATGCTGTAATTTTATATACCAGATGTTTTAAATGGGTGACAGGTCTTGAATCCATGCAGGTTAGTTCTATGTAGCCAGCTGTTTAAATGCACATAGAATGGAGTTTGGCGTCATCTGAGATAAGCAAGGCCTTTGTAGGGAAAACCTGGGAATAATGTTCAGCATTAATGGTGCCTTCACAGATGTGCAGGTTACCCATGCCATTTGGATTTATACCCACATACTATCATAAATGCTGATTTTACTTCTTTTTTTTAAATAGTATACTGATAAGTAGTACTGTACGATTCAGTACTACGTCAGTAAGCTGTTGAACAGAGATTTCTCTAGATTCCCTCCAACCTTTAATGTTTGTCCTAAAGAAGCTAGTTTTGGATTGATGTGGATTTTGGTCCTCCAAACACAATCTAAAGGTTTAGCGATACATTCCAAGTCTTTACTTAGTGCTGGATTTTTAAAAATGTCACTCATCTGCATGATAGACTGAGACAGTATCCTGTATGGCCGATGTGAAGGTATCCACAGAAGTCTGGCTGTCTTATCAATGTGCATCTCCCAACTCTTACCCTTGTGAAGTCACTGCTGCATCACTGACCCACCCAAAAAACTATTAATGTATTTCATTTGTGAATGTTTGCCGTTTGTATTTTCCATTGAAAAAAGAGCATTTGTGGTAACGTACGGCATTATTTATGGATTTTCACATCACAGTGCCATAGAGTTCATGCTGGTCCTTTTTATGAATGTTTACAGTTTGTGCAGAATATAAAATCTTGAGCTCATGTGTCATGCTGTGCAAAAGGTTTTCCATGACTCGTCACATGTTACTGAAATGAACTTACTACACCTAGATGTGTTAAGCCACTACAACGCAGATCAGACTGCTGCTGAGTTTAGTAACTTTAAAAAAAAATGTTTACTTAGAAATGAAGAAAAAAACAACAACAGCATGATTTTGCACAATTAAAATGCATACCACTGCACTGTTTCCTTTTGAGTATTTCAGTCCTGTCAGTTAACAGACACCAGTGTGGTTCAAACATGATAACAGATGAGTAGTTATGAGTCTAACTTAAGGGAAAGGAGCGACTCATAATACTCGTGACACAGGACAGAGACGGCGTGAGTTTCAAATAAATTTATTTGTCTGCAATGTGAGCTGCATTTTCTCTGCAGAGGCCCTAACCATCCCCTTCTTCTTGCTCTTGCGCTCGTAAGAAGCTGGCCTTTTTCTGGGCGACGCGGTCCTTCCTCTGTGCCAGAGATAACTTGGCGCGATTCCACCTGCCCGGAAAGAGACGACGACAAAAAACAACTCCATTAACATTCACCACACGAGAGAAAAAGTAACTACTTTGGCCTCGATTTGGCATGAAATAAGAGCAGTTATTGTTCCACGATGGTGACTATCAACTCACCTCTTCTTCTTGACGTCTTTTTTGGGTTTCTTTTGGTGTACGGGGTTCGCTCTGATGGCGGCATGTGCTTTTTTGTACATTTCTTCGACCTGAAAACAAAACAGGAATTTAATTTATGACAAAGCTGTTCATTGTGTACCTAATATATTGTCGTTTCTCTTGAAAAATAACAGGAAACATCAGATGACATTATCACTGGAAGGGGGGGCAGCACATGATATAGTCTACATGTAGAGAAGCCCATACTGGATCTTTGTGAGATCATCACTGCTATGAGTTCAAGTTTCCTGTTTGCATTTGATGCATTCAAATTAGATACTTGACATGCAAGCAATATTTAAATTACGTTTATGTAAACATCACCAAATGATCAAATCGCAGAGGAAATATTCATCTACATGATACATAACAGGTCAAACTTTTCTTTATTTTTATATAGTGCCAAAAAAACAATTGCGGTCAAGCTTTTTCTGCATCACCGAGTTGAACACCACTTCGAGTACTGGAAACAGGAAACCAAATCTTAAATGCATCTGAGAGTGTCACCTCAGCGTTACATGATTTAAGCAGACATGAAACTAGCTGACAGAATCTGTTCAGGCCGTGTTCGTAAAAATCACGCAGCAAGGGTTATGTTACCGTGTCTGGAGTGACTCCGTTCTTGATGAAGCGCGAGAACTGTTTCTTGTAGGCGTCCTCGTCCTCCTCCATCAAGTAGGACATGTAGTCGGCCACGTTCATGCCCATGATGTGTTTCCGATGCACCTCTGCATTGAACTCTTTACTCTCTGTGTCGTAGCCGGGGAAACGTTTCAGACTAAAAAACAGAAAGTGTGAAGAAACTGAGTTAGGCTATTAAAAGACGCCTCTGAAGAATCAAGTTTAAAAAAAACTAAACAAAAACCAGACAAAACAAAAACACAAGGTTCAAGGTAGTTCTGTTCTTTGTTGTGGAACAACAAAGAACAGAACTACTTTGTGTGTTACAGCTGCTTTTTGTAATCAACCTCTGCAAAGTTGAACTGTCGCCATCAGGGGGCAGCGTTTTACCAGTGAGTGCTGAGATGGTTGCTGCTGCTCCAACTTTGCCTTCTCACAGGCAGCGACCGCAAGGCCTGATGTAGACTTGTGCCAGTGATCTTTTAGCCATTTCCCACTATTACCTACTGGGCTTGACTCAGTTTTCGCTCTTTTCCCATTACAAAACCACCTCAAGTTTGATTTTGACTTCTGTGGGAAATTTACACCCCAACTTGCCTAGTAACCAGAAATCCCTTTTCTCCCTACATGGGAGCTTTCCATGCCGTGCATCTCCCCCGACATGTAGTTACATTTCTCAGGTGGTGCATGTCGTGTTACGCCCCAATTAAGGTTATAAATGGGGTTCTGGCTATGGTGCAAGTTACAAAGTAGATGTGACGCAGAAGTATAAATCATGTGTGTTGGGTTGTCAGAGCAGCACGTCCAAAAGTCTGTGACCTCATTTGTATGCGACACAACAACAACAGAGGATGTTGTGGTGATGGTACGTACACCTGATGCTCGGTATATGGCATTTTGTCAGTCTTAGGGACTACAGTGGGGGTTTTTGTGCGGCCATTTTCCTCATTGCCGGGTTTCAACAATAGTGGCTTTGATTTTAAGATAAGATAACCTTTATTAGTCCCACATGTGGGGAAATTTGTTTTGTCACAGCAGGAAGTGGACAGTGCAAAAGTTATGAAGCAAAAATTAGAATACAATAAGAATAAATACAGTACACAACTGTACAGAATAGAATAAAATAAAAATACTATATACAGTAGAATAAAATAGAATAAAATTTTTCGTGAGGGAGTAACTCTCATGACTCATGGTGTGACACTACTGACTAGCCAATCAGTGGCATGCAATCTGTTTGCGTCACTTTTTCGGATCGCCTCAGATCACTTGAAACCCCGCCCAAGCAGGTACTAAGAAGTACCCAGAACCTGGAACTACCACCTAATGGGAAATCCTAAAAACGGTCCCATCCTGCTTCTCTCAGCCCCGTCTTGAAAAGGACAGTAAACATCAGCTAATGCAAATGAAGGACCAACTACATTTTGCTCAGCGTGCTTTTTTATCATCATCGAGAAGCAGAGATGCACCAGCAAACTAAACGGACAAAATTTAGCTGGACGGAGACCAGCGAATAACCACGTAAACTCTAACTGGAAATATGTGACTGTAAAAATGTCTCAAAGAAAAACATGCACACATTTCTGTTCCTGCGCATGTTTACTGCAGGAGTGAAGCTGCAAAAAAAAGTCCACCCGAGTGCGACTCTGACATCATACTGACCTGTGAGGAATGGCAAGTCCACCATCCACCGCCCCCTTTAATGCTCCAAACACCTTGTTCCCTGTAGTGGTTCTGGCCAGACCTGCGTCCAGATAACACGTGAAGGCACCTGGTTGTCCATCCACGCTCTCTACGTTGAACTCATCTCCCGTCACCTCCACCTGGCCCTCGTACACCTGGTCCATGCCGAACTTTTGCAGTAGCTAGGGAGGAGGAGGATGAAGGCGTATGAGAGGATGTGCAAAAACATAAATCTGCTCCAATGTATGGCAACATATGTGTGTGTGTGCCCACGCTTACCCTGCGAGCCAGCAGCAGCCCGGTGCAGTAAGCAGCAGCATAGTTTGTAAGGCCCACTGTGATACCATACTTGGCCAGCTCATGAGAGTAAGCAGCACAAACGATCTGGTCTCCCTCAATCTTCGCATAGGCAATCTGGACAGGCAGACAGAGCAAGATGAGACAGCTGCTTAAAAACAGCTACCTCTCAAGTTTGAGTCTTTCTGGCACTGACCTGGCAGCAGATGTCCCTGTTGGAGAACCTGACAATCATCCGGTACTTGGGGGTGTTGTACTTGTTCTTGTCCTGCACAACCAAGCGTTTGCGGGCAAAATAGTCGGTTTTCCCCTCTGTCAAATAATAAGTAACAGCATGTGGTTTAATGGCGTATGCTCAACAGAAAGGGGATCTGAGCCTGTGTGCAATTCATGTTGACTTTTACCTCTCCTCCTCCTGAATTTGACTTCGTAGCGCTTGAAGTAGGCCTTGTTCTTCACCACTTTGACGAAACCCTGAGAAGAGACGAAGAAGCAACATGTCAGCAGAAGCAGAAAGTACCATAAGTATCAAGCCTCCAGTTGTCACTATGGGCACAAAAGCTGTTTAACCGCTCGGAGTAAGTCTCCACGAGGAGGTCAGCTGAGGTTTCAGCAGCCATGAATCGCCACGCTGGAGCCGAGCGGCTCACCCGGCCGGAACAGCCCGACAAGCCGCAAATATCCAGCTCCATCTGACCCTCAAACCGCTTTAGACACTCATCTAACAACAAACACACCTCCACAAACTCAAACCGTCTCCACCCGGTGTATATGAGCATTATCCACTCACCATTTTGGGGTATTTTTTCTTCTTCTTTCCCCTCCTGCACTAACTAGCGGACTCCGTGACACGGAAGTCTGATGTCGCTATCTTTGGGGGGTTTTTCCAAGGAGTGTCGCGGGTTGGCAGCGCCCCCTGCTGCACCGGAGACAAACAGCACAGGCCAACAGAGGGCAGCAGCTACACGGAGAGCACAGGTCTGTGGAGGGCCACAAATACATCACATAGATCATTAAATAACTGTTTCGTTGTGTCATTAATGAATTAAAATGGCAAATATATTATTTTTTATTAAATGTTTTTAATTAAATACATTAATATTTAATTAATCACTTTTGTAATTAATAATCCACTTAGAATAAGGAGGGTGAGTAGCTTGGTCATTCCAGAGGGATCAGAGGGAGTAGAAGTGCTTTTCCCCCCACATTAAAATGAGTCAGTTAAGTTGAGTCAGGCATCTGACCAGGATGCCCCCTGCATGCCTCTTAGGTGAGGCATTCCGGACATGTCCTACTGTGGGCAGACTTAGGACTTGTCTGGCTTGGGAAGGTCTCAGCATCCTCCCTGGATAAGCTGGAAGGAGGTGGCTAGGGTGAGAGAAGTCTAGCTTTCTCTGTTGAGGTGCTGTCCCCACAAACTGAACCCAGATAGGTGGTAGAAGATGAATGGATAATAACTTCATTTTGATTGCATTTTTAAAAAGCATAGTTACAAAGTGCTTCCCAATTTGAATAAAAGCAACACATTTAAGTTAAATATACCTGAGAAAAATCTTTCATTAGATCTATAAGAGATTATTACATTTGAAACCAACGCCGTAGAAAGCAGGATGACATTTGCATTGTGTCAGGATTTTAAATTTACACAGAGAAAAGAAGAAAATAGGAAAAGCTTTGAGGTGACATGTGCAGGGCCACAGCAGCCCTGCGCATGTGCTGTCCACAGACACTCTGTGACACCAAGCGTCTGATGTGATAGCACATTTTTGGTGACACATCCTCCACGATGGTGAAATCAAGACACGCAATACAATGTTGATGCATCGAGCTGGAAACGAGTCTGCCGGGAGGGTGGACTCTCAGTCCCCAGAGAGGTCACAATGTCTGAAAGCTGAATCAGAATCTAAGGTAGATGAGCTGGCAGCCCAGT